AACCTAGGACCAGGCATTACTGCGTAACGGTTCGAGTTGCCACTCCTCATATCAGTACATCAAGTAAAAAGGCAGTGACGTGCAAGATAAAGATAAGAGAATGCAGTCAAAAAAATATAAAGTACGAAAAGAGAGAAAGGAAGAAGGAGAAAGTGGTGAGATTCGGTACACCGTCGTTAAGATGAGGATAATGTATGTATACATCTGCGCCACTGACATCGGTTCTCAGCCATATCATATAGAGTCTCCAACCATTGGTTCCTCTTGTCCTGCCGAACCCAACCACCTAGTCTGCATCACCCCCTTACATGGCTCAAACCAACAGTCACACACTTCACACATTGGTGCCATGTTTTAGTCTGAACACCTCGGACCTTTTCCCAGCCTGGAACTACTTCCACCAACATTGTGTGACGAGGCAATCGGCGACTAGGCATACGTAACACATGTCCCAACTAGCCATCTCAGTCCATCAAGGCTCACAACCCCGTCAGCCGACCCACCTCAACTCCCTAAAACTCTACACCTAACTTCTACATTACTTACATGGTGACACCACGGAATACGGTGGCCTATACTACGAAGGCAACGGTGGTCAAACACCTGAAGCCTTCTCATGTCTTCCACCTTCAATCGCCATGTTTCACAGTCATACAGCAGAACAAACCAGACTGCTGTGCAGTATACGCAAACCTTAGTAGACAATCGGATATCACGGCGGCGTCACAGGTGGCGTAAGTTGGCAAAAGCCAATTGAGCCTTTTGTATCCGTGCAGAGATTTCACCAGCCACTGAGCCATCAGGGCTGATCCTACTTCCTAGGCAAGTGAAGTGGTCAACACACTCAAACATTACACTCTCTATTGTTAGCAGTGGTGGGGCATCCTTGAAGACCAATCCTGCAGCAGCAATTTGCATTTGGGTGGTGAGAAACGTATCCCAAACATTCTCAAATTCTCACTCAAAGAGTTCAGAAGACTCTGCATCTTGTCAGTGTCTTCACTTATCAGGACTATGTCATCTGCATATTCTAGGTCTAACGAAAATTCTACTATGATTGGGTCAACCCCTGCTTAGTCAGGTGACGCAAGAGGGTAACCTCCATAAGAATATCGATGATCAAATGGAATAAGAATGGAGAGAGTGGGCACCCTTGACGGACGGACACCACTCGATGAGTACAGCTCACCTGACATCTCACCATCGTATTTGATTCCCATATACTAGCTAACATTTCCGTTAACCTGACTAAGAGCACCTTACCACCATCCTTGTATACCTCAGCAGGTAGTCCATCTGGTCCTGCTGCCTTTCCTCATTTCAGGTTACTTACCGCTTTCTCAACTTCTCCTAGTGTTGAGGGGGCCTATCTCTATGTCCCATTCAGGATCCGACTGGATAGCGGGCAACGCATTGGTGGCTGGAGACCAGTTAAACTGTTCCTCGAAGTGTTCTACCCATCGTTCCAGTCGTCTCTCCTGCGAGTGAATCGCAGATCGGTCCTTCTCCACTATGGTCTCACTAACCGCAGTTGGCCCTTTTTCGCCTAGTTTCCTTAATAAGTCCAAATAACTGTATACTGTCACCAATGGCCGCCGTCTTTTCCATCTCTTTAGCCTTCGCTGAGGATGGTGAATACTTGGCGAAATGAAAATGCTGATTGCTTTACATGATTAGCAGGATCCTGAGTCTTCAGCCTCTTGCAGAGGAGCAACAGGAAGCAGTCGAAATGTTTAGAGACTTGGATAGTTGTGTGTACCATTCAAGTTATGACAGATGAAATTTACAATCGTTGGCTCTTTGAAATAAGAGGTTTTCATTCAGTAACTGTTTGTTTCCGTAGAATTTCTTATATTCACTGCAGGCAGCAACCAAAGAGTTATAAAGTGTGATAGTTTCAGTCTGGGTATTATTTATTTTTAACATGACATCTTAAAATGTCTACTTCAGAAGCTTCAATGCGTCTTACATTGAGTTATCTTTAGTCCAACCGATTGAAAAGTGCGGAAAATTGTCTGATTTATAATGTACAAACGTACGATGAACAAAAGTTGTGTTAGGTTTACATTTCTCGGTTCATCTCGACCATATAGATGGAACCCTAAAGATCATAAGACTCACTGGCTTAAGACCTGAACAGTGATTACCGTATTTGTTTCCTCATTTTTTCTATTCTTAAATGGTGATAAGAAAGTGTTTCAAACTACTTCAGTGTACCTTGTTCAATACCAGCATGGTCCTATAGATAGTGAGCTTAGGAAATGCGATACATTAAAGTTGTAGAAAAAAGATTACTATTACATGTGAAACTACCTAGGCGCGAAATTCATTCCATTGCTTTTTCACTGTCGGGCAATACTTTGAAAGCGAAGACGTACAACTGGTAACAATGAAAACAAATAAGTTTTGAACAAAGCGTAGAGATGTAATGTTAACCTAGTACCTAGTATTTTCTCATAATGATTGCCGTTAAACGTTTATCGAAAAATCTCTGTTCTAGCCTCATTTGTATGTGTAAGGTGATGCAGACATCATATCAAATATGATACGCATAGTATTCGTATAATTTTGCAAAGGATGGGAAGCTTATTATATTGTTGTAAACAATTTCATATACTCGTTTGATGTTATCCAGATCCATAAACAATCTTCCTATTTTTGGTGTTATCTATACATTACAGTTGGCTTTCTACCTGCTGCACCAACACCTTAATGAGCCACCAAGATTTAAGGAATCTTTATCCCTGGCGCACATAGTTTCGATACTGATTTTAAGGGATAATCACTCGTTCAAGTATTTATCGAGTTGTACACACGTTAATTCGATTTTAGTAAATAAATACCTCGGTATTCTTTTTACATTAGTGGACTCAATATAACAACAACTCAGTATGCAACCCAATGAACTAGAAATGTACACAAATTTAGCGGGCAACTGAATCGCATGCATCATGTTTAGTTAGCTTTCATTCTCCTCAATTAATTAATCTGGTCTACATCAAATACGTTGACATATTTCGGGAGAAACTGGGTGAAGTACAGAAAACCTGAAAATATACCAAATATAAAACTATATTAGGTTGCTGTAATCTCTTGAAACAGTGTCAAATATAATCAGTACTGCTACATATAGATGTATATTAGTGATTGACAAATTATTGATTGAATTTCTATTCTTCAAAATATTCATTCTATCAATTATGCATGTATACTGGCAATGGAATAGTAACAAATAAATCATCTACTGAAGACAATAATAAAGATGTGTACACAATTACTAAACTGATAATAAATGTCAATCGACAGACACTGAGAGAATGTACTAACTTTGTGTGTAAAATACTGATTTGATTAAACGAAGAGAACCACATTCACTACACGATATATATATATATATATATATATATATATATATATATATATATATATATATATATATAAAGTTTAACCTTGAGTACATAAAGTATACACTAAAAGATATTGATCGCTCACATGAGCATTAGAGTAGATATTACCATAATTATTGTTGCAATTAGTATTATAAATATGATTACAGGAGTAATAAGGAATTGTTCTAAACTAACTTGTCCTAATTTAGTTGTCAGCTTCAATTTTCAGAAATACCAAAAGTAAATATAATCTGCCTAATTTGCAAATACATGAAGAAACGAATAAATGAATGGGAAAAATAGTTTGATGAACGAAAATCAAAGATATTCTTGGGCTATTTTACAATTACTAAATCCAATCAATTGTTGAATCCACTTGGTTCATTTCGTGACATAAGTGCTACTGCATTCAATCAATTAGCGTAGCATACTTGAAGGAGAATGAAACACAGTGTTTATGAATTACATACGATATATGCAAGATTGTGTTCAACATGGAAGTCATCAGTATTATATGCCACCATAAACATAGACTGCAATCAATACACCATTTTCTAGTCAAATCGAAATGCACTCAGTAAACTTGTGCATATTCCTGCAGTAGAAAATGAGCGACACTTATTATGTGGCGGCTGCCGAAAACCTGATACGTGCTGAGGTATCAGAACCCACAACCTACTGGCTGAAAGTCATCTTAAACCAATGAGTCACAGCTCCGTTAATTTAACAGAAATCCTCTTACGATGTTTCCCCACTGTTCAGCCTTCTAGTATCGTCGAACTATAAATATAAGTATAAAAGTCAACAAAGTTAATACGCTCAAGAAGACAAAATAATGACAATAATAATAATATAACAGTGTAGTCAGGTTCAAACAAAAAGTAATATGATCAACCAAGTTTATGAAGAAGGACCAGTAGAAAATCAAATCCATAATATTAATAGATCCAAAGTGTTCCGACGTATAAAAATCAATTTTTTGAAAGTAAGCAAAAACCACAGCATTCAGGCAGAATCCCATATTAGATTTGTTGATTTGATTTAATATAACATTATTAGGTAAAGAGAGAGATTGATTACTGAATGTTTGTTCGTCGAATCAACACCTAAAATACGTAATGGGAATGACGCAACACCTATACCACAGAAATGGGATTTTACTACCAATGAAAAAAAATCATATGAGGTGACATGACTATAAAAATCAGATATCTAAAGGAGCGCGATTACACTGATATGATTATGAGCAAGAATTTATGGTTGAAACGTCACCAAGTAAATAATATTGTATCAGTGTGTTATAAATCAAATAAACAAATCTAATATGAAGTTACACACTACCATTGTGCTCAAGTCTTGAACTTATATTAATGTTCAAACAGATATTCAAAAAAAAGGAAAGATGGGGGGAAAGTATGCAAATACATCTTAACTGTTCAGAAAAAATCAAGGGGTAAAAAATAGGCACAGAATTATGACGATAAAGGAAACCATACATGACACAAAACACCCGGAGGAACAGATACGAATCATTTATCAATTGATTTTATGAAGGAAATACAACCATTGACAGTTCACACATGGGGAGAGACAGCAAGTGGATAAAGTTACCTTCCGTATCTCGGGACAGAACACGACGCAAGCATCCAAGATGTTCTACAATAGATTCAATGATTACAACAGTTATATCATTCTACCTAAAGGGTGCATCGAAACCATAGGTACAATGAATTCCGATCTAAAGAATGAGGAATACAGATAACCGAGTTGAATAAAATGAAAATATAATGTTATCCTTTAAGTGGATATAACAAATTCCTTTTTAAACTAATCAGACCACAGTTTTATCAATTTTAAAATAATTTAGACTCTAATAATCTTGCCTTCGGAACGTTTTAGTTTTCATCATCTGATGGATTAAAATAGTTGCTTGGAGTTATACTCTGAAATCAAGTATTAAGAACAAAATTCATTGTATACGGAGAAGTCAGCAGGTTATGATACGCCGACATTTCACCAAGTAGCCAGCTTTTATCTAATAACTTGGGATGTAAGTGGTGTCTGTGCCCTCCTTTTTATGCAATATCGTCATAATAATGCAATCCAACAGGTTCAGATACTCTTGCTCACTAAACCATCAGCTAAAATCACAACATATGGATTATTGACGCTTCTAGATTGTTCAGATTTGTTTAGTTTTAGTATACAATTCATTGACTGCAAGAAGAGTTCTGAAAACAATCAGTTATAGCTTAACGAAAATAACACCATTTACGAGAGTAAAACTAATCTCTAACAAGCAAAAAACACCATGAATGACGGATAATGACAGTACGTTTCGTCTTATCTAGGACTCTTCAGCTGGATGCACCTGCCTCTCAGTGAGTAATGTTGTTCCAAGAGAGACTCGAACCCAAGATCAGTCACTTCAAATACAAGAATGTTATCCACTAAGCAACGATAACCACTCCTTGTGCGATGGGTTTGGCATAGTTTAATATTATAGCTTGTAAATCTCCATCGTCCAGGACTCCTCAGCTAGCCACTAGCCATCGTTAAGATCCAGACGGAAAATACCGGCAATATCGACGCATCGTCTCAGGAGTCTATATGCCAATAGCGACGGACCAATCCCGTCCAATCGAGGGAGATTTACAAGCCATAATATCAACAACAAAAATAGCATTTCACACTTCAGTACCTCATTTTAACATTTATATCCTTAGACAACTGACTACTCATAGTTGAATATACACTGTTGTGGGAGTAAAACGATTATTTCATCCGAAATCAAGTAAACAATAACATTTCATATTAAACACCCAGTTCACTGAGAAGGATTAGTATACGCATATTCACTGGTATCACGAGGGCTTGCATAACTTGATTCCCTGGAAAAAACACGTCCTGTAGTTGACATGCGAGAAATTAACACACCTGCTTTATTTTATACATATTTCAATCCTGAAACTTGCTCAAAGCAACACTGTTTCAAATTATGACATCTTGATTGGTGATTCAAAAGCGTTGCAAACCTGATTAGAAAGGTCATTTATTTAACACGCAAAGCTCTTTAGTTAAATAATCCTGATAAACAATATTTCCTGGAATATTTCCCTAGATTGTGGCTAGCAATGGAATACAGGGCGCGCATTCCTTCCTATTAGAGAGTAGTCAGTTAGATGTACATGCACTCCAGTGAATGATGTTGTTCCCAATGAGACTTAGACCTCCTTTCAAACGCCAAAGGGTTGTCCAGTATGCCACTTTCAGTGAAAATCAAGTCAATTATAAGAGTAAATATTCAGGAAACAACGAGGCATCTGCATAGGAGCCCATATGTAAGCAGAGGACGATTAATTCGAACCAGTATAACAACGGAGAATTATAAGTATCAACAAATAATATTTCCTCATGCCAGTACCTATATAGACCGAAATTTGAACAAACCTGTGTAAATTTAGTGATATCATTTGGGCCATAATGTCGGAAACCAGCAGAATAAGTAATGCAGTACAGAAAAACAATAATAAAGATAGTGCTGACCTATTATGTCACATGTGCAACGGAAATTCATATTAAAAGCAAACAAGGAAGCCAATAGAATAGAAACAATCTCTGCTCAATAACTACACACATACTAGTGTAGTACACAGCGAACTACACCTACTGTTTTAGGACTAACCACACCCTAAATTTGCCTAAAATGAGTCCGAAAACATAGCTAGTTTCTCAGTATCGACTATTTAACTACTTGATTTACATCTATAGCTATATTACTTTTACAACAGTAGGGTATAGAAACCGCCGAGAAAAATGTGGAAAAAACAGTGCAACAGTCATGAATTGATTTCTGAGATCAAGTAACATCGAACAGATTAAACCAAGATTATGTGATCCGCGTAAACAATAAAATGAACACGATCAACACTGCATTCTTCCAATAGGAAAGAATTCTTGTCTCTATATCTAGACAAGTATAACAGTAACTAAAATAAACTCAAAACTTATTAGTGTATTAAGAAATGTTAGCTTCCACTTGCATCTGTTATATCCTGGATGCAAACGTAGTGGAAAATAGTAAGTGAATATATGGACATCTGAATACCCGGATTCAAAAACCTCTAACAGAATGACTGAAATTCATACTACTACTACAATACGTCATGATTCGATTACACATGCATTTTTCAAGGTGAAACATAAACTTTACCTAACAACTGAATGATAAGGTAACTAAACATAGTGTAAAAAGAAAGATATATGATAAGAGAACTTTTTTTTATCCAACTTGTTGAATGGTATAAAAACTTGGATCAATCCACTTATGTGTATGAGATTCAGTTATGTCGTTCCTGCCTAACTGATCATTATTCAACAAACTTTAAAACAGTCTTACACTTTGTTTTTAAGTTTCGAAATTCGGTTGAATAATTGTTAAAAAAAACATGACACACTGAATTATAAATTTCCTATCTGACAAACTTCTTCCCAAGATTGTATATCGTTTGTCACAGAGTTTTGAGTTAGTATTGAAATTCTGTCTTCACTAGAAATTTTAGACCCGAATCCAACAAGTAATAAAACAAATTTTAAGTACAGTAGTGTATTTCAGACAATTAAAAAGTAAGTACATAAACACAATCGTATGAAAAGTCTGTTAACCAGTCTAGTAAATATACGACGATAACCAACAGAATTGCAATGAATAGTAGGAAGACGTTTTGACACACACTGATCAACAAGGAGCAGGATTATTTCGTGAAACTTGAATAAGCTTCATTCACCCATTTGTCAAATCACTCACTAAATTATGTTAGTCTTTAACATATATGATAATCTAATTAGATGATCAAAAGGATATCTTCTGTACCAAAATTGAATATTAAATTGAAAGCTTAATGTAAGACTCACACTCTTGAAAACGGTCTTCCTAGAAGGATCGAGACGTTGAGGAATGATACAACCACTCCCAGTCTAGTGATTGAGAGAACAGTGGTGGAATATGTCGACCACTTCACTTACTTGAAAAGTTGTATCAGCCTTAACGTGCAGGTTGCTGACGAAATCTCAGCTCGGATATAGAAGGCCCGTTTGGCACTTGCCAACTCGCACCATCCGTGACGCCAACTGGCGAGATATCCGACTAGTTGCTAAAGAACGAGTATTCAGAGCTGCAATCCGTCCTATCCTGCGGAACGGTTGTGAGACATGACCGTTAAAAGTAAACATGCAGTGATTACAGAGTTTTGATCACATAAGTCTTCGTAGTATTGCTCGTGTGTAATGGAATCACCGTATGAGAAATACTGAGTTTGGGCAAAGGATAAAAAACAAGACAGACAAGATGATTAAACAGGTTACGTACCTTAGTCGGCTGAGATGGTATGGACATATACGGAGCATGTTCAGCAACCGCCTACCTCGACGTGTCTCGCTATGGGAAGTTGGGTTAGATTGGAAGACGGTCCAGGGTAACCAGACTAAGACATGGTACCAGTTCGTAAAGTCCCCGACTGCTGGTCAGAGCAGTGTGAGGAGATTTACATTGTCTGGTTGGAGTGCCCGAGACGATGGGAATCAGTAGTTGAGGGCTCTTGATGACATGGATAAAAATCGGTCACAATGGTGCAGATGTATTCATTCCTTGACATTTCCTAAAGCTTGAATATTTGCACTAACTGTTATCTTCAGATTGTTTATACTCTCATACAACTTTGTCTACTTTGATATCACTCCTTTTGTGTTCACTTGTCCTTTGAATACTACTGTGAAGTGTGGCCACTTGAGCCGATGGCACAGGGTGCGAGGTCCTACGTTGATCTTATCAATTAGTCAGTCATCTTGTGTATTCTAATATACTACGCCGGAGTTTTACTTGTAAAATGCACCTTAGTGAACTTTAAATATGATGATGAGTAAGAACTTCGGTTGAGCATATAGGTTTGAGGCACTAGTTAGCTATAGATCATAAATTATTCCCAAAAAACGTTTACACATGTTTATGTACAACATTTCTTCATGGAAACTATTTCAGTATATGTGAAGGGAAACCAGTGCTGCGTATAATCCCCGACAAAAATAGTATCTTTAAGTCAGTATAGAGATTTCATACCTTAATATCGTTCTTTTTTTGTCATGATCCAGTCGCCAATTTCCTACAACTTGGTTTGGGTGTGACTGAATTAGGCGCAAGATTCCGTTTATTCAGTCTTAACGTCAACCTTGGACGTGATTGGTGTCGAATATACTCGCCCAGTTTCCTATGCTCAATTCATCTACACGACGAGTCATACGATCCTGCCCTCCCAACCATATACAGAAGAACACAAAGTCTCGTGCTTATTGTCCGTATATCTTAGGCAATCTCATTCATCTATATACACAACCAAATTAATTACCTGACCACAACTCACCATAATTTATAGAAATGAAACAACTGGTTTAAAACAATAAATATAGGATAATGCATAACAATGGGTTTCACCGAACATGCAGTTATTTACAAAACATAGGTCATACAGAAGCGGGTGAGGGGTAACTCGAAAGCTCTTGAACCGACCTACACAATAATGTTACCAAATAGATCATAAGTAAGATGGAATGTAAAATAAGTAAAATAATAAGATTAGTAACATTTGTCTGAGATTCACACC